CGTTAAAGAGAGGACCGCTGCTGCCGACTATTCAGTTCGGCCTTGCTCAGGACCTTGGGACTTAACCCGTCTCTGACGAGGGAGCTGGCGCCCCCTGATGCCGAGGCATGTGCGCAGACGAGGGCGGCCCAGGAAGCGCATGGAAAGAGGACGAGGGGCCCGTGATGACATCGGGGAGCTTCCATGGCCGTGGAGGTGCTGCCCACACACGCGCGCACCTGTGGTTCTCCCCCCTCGTCGACGCCTGGTGGCCTTCGGGTCATAGATCGGGCCTCTGGCGGCAGTTCGGGACGAGTCGGGCACGCCCAGGAAACCCCATCCCGAGGCCGGACATCCTCTTGGGAACGTGCCGCCCGAGACGGCCAAGCTTGCGTCCTGGGAGGTGTATCGGAAGCCGCCTGGAGCCCCCCTACGCTGGCCATCGCTCGGACGTCCATTCCCTGTGTGTTCTTCGGTTTCGTGAGTGTTTGTTTCGCCAAATGATCACGGATGCTCGTCGATGGTCCTCGCCGAAGGAAAAACGCACACGTCCGAGCGATGCCAAGTACGGTGCTCGAGCTGCCACGAGGAGCGCCGAAGAGAAGGGCGAAGGGGAGCTGCCGAGCCGCGGCTGGCCTCGGTCACGAACAGGGCCCGCGGCCTGGAGCTAGGGAGCGGCCCGAGAGCTCGAGCCCCTCCCGAGCCCGAGGGGGTCCTTCTCCCCGCGTCTGGGCTGCAGTCCTCACTCCGCTGCCCCTGGCTCCAGAGCCGCAGCATGTTGGATCATGAGCCGACACAAACTTGCGTAAGGCATGCATCCCCCCCAAAACAAGTTGGACGGAGCTGTCTGCGTCGGAAAATGGGGCGGACATATATCCGCAGAGGTTTGGAGGAAACAGCGACGGCAAACTAGGGCGGAGATCGATATCAGAGGATATTGAAAAGTAGGGCGGGCAAGACGCGGGCGCAGAAGAGGATGAGGAGGGATGAGGAGGGATGATGATGACAATGATGACGGCGACGATGACGACGACGACGACGACGACGACGACGACGATGATGATGATGATGATGATGATGATGCTACTGCTGCTGGTGATGATTATGATGCTGATGCTGATGCTGATGACTTGAGGGATGAAAAAACGACCCTACCCTGGCTCACAAGTGCGCGGTCTGCAAACCTCCTGGGAACCCCCAAAGCCTAGAGCCGCCAGGACGCGGCACATCACGCAGGGTTTACCCTGTCAGCCCACATGAGTTTCAGCGCACAGCGCCTCGTAAACCAGGGTAGGGGCGTTTTTATGCCCTTGAATGACGATGATGATGATGATGATGATGATGATGATGATGATGATGAGGATGAGGATGAGGATGAGGATGAGGATGATGCTGATGATGATGATGATGATGATCATGATGATGATGATGCTGATGCTGATGCTGATGATGCTGATGATGCTGATGCTGATGATGATGATGATGATGATGATGATGATGATGATGATGATGATGATGATGATGATGATGATGATGATGATGATGATGATGATGGTGGTGAGGATGAGGATGATGTGCTGATGATGATGCTACATGCTCTGCCGCGCTGAGGAGGAGGAGGCGGGATGGAAGAGGAGGAGGGAGGGAGGAAGGAGGGAGGAGGCCGAGGAGGGACGAGGGAGCAGGAGGAGGAGGAGGGGAGGGAGGAGGACGGAGGAGGAGATGCGAAGAGAAGCGGAGGAGGGAGCAGGGAGGAGAGCAGGGAGGAGGAGGAGGCGGAGGAGGAGAGGAGGAGGAGGGGAGGAGGAGGAGGAGGAGGAGTGGAAGAGGAGGAGGTAGGAGGGGAGGAGGAGAGGAGGAGGAGGAGGAGGGGGGAAGAGGAGGGGTCTCAAGGACGACCCCGACTGCCGGCGCCCCCCGATGCCTGCGGCGCCGCGGCGAGGAGCCCCGACTCGAGCGCGCGGGCGAAGCTCTGGCGGAACGCGGAGAGCCCCGGGCCCGGGGCGGCGGGCTCTGGCGCCGGCGAGTCCTGGCGGCAACCGCCCGGGCTTTCGGAGGCCTTCGCGAAGGCGCTCAGAGGCTTCGACGCTCTGGACGCCTCCGGGGGCTTCTGGAAGTTGTTTCGAAGGCTCCTGGGAGTTTTCGGGAGTCTTCGGACGTGCTTGGTGGTTTTCTCGCCTCGGGATGCGTTCCAGCGGCTGCGCCTCGCCGAGAGCGCTCCAGATCGTCCTGAACGGCCTCCGGGGGGCCCGAGCTTTACCTGAAAGCTCGATCCAGCTCGACACGTGCCGCAGACAGATGGGGTCTACGATTCAGGTCGTGATGTCTCGAGCCAGATATCCGAGAGCATCGGAAAAAAAGTAGGCAGACGTGTTTCGCCGTTTTCGGCGTGTGAGGGCCCTCGCCAGGCACCGGGGGACCACCCGACTCAGCCAAAATCCGGGCGGGGGGTAAGGGTTGGGATTCCCTGGGGCCCCGTGCTGAGCAAAAACAAGACATCGAATCTGTGGAACACAGCGGCCCCATGCAAGGGTGGCCTCCGATGCGCGGCTTTCTAGGGCGGCGACGGGGGGGCGAGGGCGAATGCGAGCGCGCCCGGGGGGATCCCTGTGGGCCCGCATCCAATGCTGGTCGGGTGGTTCTCGGGCCACGACTCGTGCCTTCGGGGCAGGCGCTCCAGGCCACTCGGGCACCCCCAAGACGCTCTCGGCTCTCGGCAAGGCGCAGCTGCTGAAAACCACACCGATGCAGAGAAACGCATGGGAACGAACGACAACGCCAGGGAACCCCGAGCCCCGGACCCTGAGATCCGACGTTGCGAACAATCACGACATCGCCGAAAAATCCGCCGGCCCCCTTGTGGGGCCACCAGGCTGTAGGACCGTGATTCGCAGTTTCCTGTACCAGTTGTAGCTTGTAGTTTCCAGTGTTACAGTTCTGCTTCTTGCTGGTTACTGTAACTAGTTGATTGACCGCGCGAGGGGGGGGAGGCCCAAACAAGACTTTTTAGCGTCCCCTGGGCGCGTTGTCTGAATTGCTGGGGGGGCTCGAAATCAACACCCCTCACGCAGATCCGCGGGGTCAGGGTCCAAAAACACATGGGATTTGCCACATTTCTGAAATTCGGTGCCACCCCTCACGCAGATCCGCGTGGTCAGGGTCCAAAAACACAGGGGATTTGCCACATTTCTGAAATTCGGTGCCACCCCTCACGCAGATCCGCGGGGTCAGGGTCCCAAAACACAGGGGATTTGCCACATTTCTGAAATTCGGTGCCACCCCTCACGCAGATCCGCGGGGTCAGGGTCCAAAAAACACAGGGGATTTGCCACATTTCTGAAATTCGGTGCCACCCCTCACGCAGGTCCGCGGGGTCAGGGTCCAAAAACACAAGGGATTTGCCACATTTCTGAAATTCGGTGCCACCCCTCACGCACATCCATCGCAAGGCGTGGTAACCCAAACTGCGAGTACTCCCTCGGCCCTTTAATCCCAAGGTGTGGTAACCAAGATCGTAAACCATACACGTCTTACCAATCGCCCTGTGTGGTAACCCCTCTTGTGATCAGTTGGTTTTGCCGATTGCGAATCGGCCTCGCATGAAGTTCCGATACTGCTGCACGACAGCGCCAAAGCCTCATGACTTAGCTCTTCCATGGCCCATTCTCCGAGAGAGGGGGCCGGCGGCAGGGGGCGAAGCCCTTACGGATCACGACCAAAGCCCCAGACCAATCTTCCTGCTGCATGTTTGAAGCCGGATCGATCTGTGATGATGGCGGGGCCAGAAACTGGGCGAAAACATGCAGTCTGAAAAACTTGCAACCCCCAGATCTCAAGGGAACACGCCCGAGTACGCCCGAACCCCACACGGCTCAGAGGGCCACTCTGGCGAAGGGCCAACCCAACTCCAAATGCGCCGCACTTCGGTTGATTTCCACTGCATCGGAATGGCACCCCGAACGATGCGACGAAAATGAGGCGGCCATCTCCGCCACAGAAAAATAGGGAAGAGATTGCCGCAGCAAAGGGATCGGAGACAGGGTCCTCCTCCCCCTCGAGGGGGAGGAGGATCCTCCCCCTCGAGGGGGAGGAGGACCCTCCTCCTCGAGGAGGGTCCCCCATCCTGGCGGCGTCCTCGAGGGGGAGGACCCTCCCCCTCGAGGGGGAGGAGGAGCCTCCCCCTCGAGGACGCCACCAGGATGGAAGGAGGATCCTCCTTCCGTCCTGGTGGCGGTCGGGTCACAGGTCGGGCCTCCGGCGCCCCCGTCGGGCCTTCGGGATGCACGGGCACCCCCGGAGCCTCTCGGCGAGGCGCGGCGGCTGGAAAAAGCACACCGTAAGCTGCACGCAGGAGTGGCCCTATAGGCAAGAGCGACCTTCGGTGCGCGGCTGAAGGGGGGGGAAACAAACCTACCTCGCTTTTGACCACCCTCGCTTCCAAGAGATACCAAACGATGCCAAACTGCAGCCTCTACTGGTCAGGCCGCTTGACGAGGAGGCGCGTGGTATGGCTTGGTTTTGCCTGGAAGCGAAAACGGGGTAGGCAATTCACGCTCTGACTGAAGGGCGGACGCGGGGTGGCCAAACCCGGGCGCGCGAGCCACTGCCACCGCTTCGCGTGCAGCGATCGGGGGACCCCGTCACTCCAGCGAGAGGCCACTCTTACCCAGACGTGCGACGTCCTGATTTGTTCAATGCGCGGTCCCCGGACGTCCCGACCTTTTCCTTGGGACCGGCTTCTCATCCTAAGTCGCTTTTCGACGCTCCTGGGGCCCGTCGAGGGCCTCGAGAGACCGAAAACATCAAAAAAACATCCGTCTTAACTTTTTTGCGACGCGATCATGTCCGGGTGCGCCCAGTCTTGCCTCGGTGCTGATCTTAAGGGCCCCCTCGGCTTCTGAGGGCACGTCCCTAAGAGTGTCATCGCCTTGGGCTTGTCGATCCCAGGGAGAGGGATAAGCTCGAGGCTGGCGACAGTCGACCGAGGCCAGGCCACTCCTGCGCGCGGCCGGCCCGCAGCTCCTCCCCGGCCACGCCCCCGCGGCGCGCGCGGGGCTCGAGCCGCTGCGCGGACTCCAGCGCGGCCGTCCTGGCGGGCGCTGCCGGAGGCCCCGGCGCCAGCCTCGTCCCACCTCCTCCTCCTCCTCCTCGTCCTCCTCCTCCTCCTCCTCCTCCTCCTCCTCCTCCTCCCTTCTATCGCTCCCTCCTTCGAGTTCCCCCTCCCGCCCCACTCCATCCGCCAGCCCCCAAGCTGCAGGCGCGGGAACGGCAGTATGAGCGCAGCCCTGATCCAGTTTCTTGGCGGCGGGCAGAAGGGGATGGGGGGCGGGGGGAGGCTTCTTAGAAGGAGGCTGCTTCTCAGAAGGCGCCGACCCTACATCTACAGACACGGCCCGCGCCTTCTAAGAAGCAGGGGTGTGTTTCTGAGAAGCCTTCCCCCCTCCCCCATACCCCCCTCTGCGCGTGGCCGAGAAGCCAGGGCGAGGAGAACATCGGGTGAGGACAAAGCGAGAATCGCTGAGGTCCGACGGCTGTGGAGGATGTCTCCGGCGCCGCGGCCTTCTGAGAGCGTTCGGGAGCGCTCCGAGAGCGTTCCTGAGGGAACGGGCTTATCCTCGTCCTGGACCTGCCCGATCCCACCTCCTCGCCCCCCTCTCCTCGCCTGACTCAGAACCAGGTTGGTCAGGTCGGGTTGGAGTTTTACTGTGTTGTTGGGGTTTCCCACCCCTTTGGACGCCGAACAGGGGTGGCCTTCGGGCGGGTGGTAATGAGGGGTGACCTAACTCGCAGAAAACTGTCCTAAAGAGGCGCTTCAGCCCCTTTGTAGCCCCTGCTGGCTCCAAGAGGACCCTATATTGGGACATGTTCTTCACCCCCCACCTTAAGCCCCCCCCGTTGCCACCCGCTCGATGTATGCAGGCGAATTCTGGCCGGTATCTCCTTCACCTCCATGCTACTTTGCCAGCCTCCAGCAGGAGGCCGAGGTCGTCGAGGGCAGTGGCACACTGTTGCCCGCAACTCCAACAGGGCAGTCATCAGCCCAAATCTCCGAGGACCCAGACATGCTCGCGTGGCGGCAAAAACTCATGACAGCAAATTTGGGCTGCTTTCGGCCTCTGGGGGCCCTCGCCGGTCCCCGTGAAAAAACGCCCGGGATGAAAAGCTGGCCTCCTGGAAAAAGTGTCGGGACTTCTGGGGGCCCAGCATGAGAGCTCCGAAGATCTGCTTCTCTTTTGTCCAATCTGGGCGTTGCTCCCTGCTCTCGATCGGGGCTCTCCTGACTGGGGTCAATCCAGACCCGGGTCAATCCAGACCCGTTTGCATTGAACCCCCGTCTCGTGAGCCCCGACTCGACCTCTGGGGGCCCAGCATGAGAGCTCCGAGGATCTGTTTTTCTTTTGTTCAGTCTGGGCGTTGCTCCCTGCTCTCGACCTCTGGGGCCCGATGCCGCGCCCCGAGGCCAGCAACGTCTGGGAACCCGCGGCGGAGCGCGCCCTGCGGCGGCGGTCGGGGCCGCCGAGGCCGTGGACTGGCAACAGCATGCCGGGGGCTGTCAAAGGGGCCCGGGAGGGTCGCGGGCCGCAGCAGGAGGTGCCCCAGGAAGGGCTCCCCAGGAGGAGGAGGAGGAGGAGGAGGAGGAGGAGGAGGAGGAGGAGGAGGAGGAGGAGGAGGGGGACGGGGAGGAGGAGAGGGGGAGGGGGAAGAGGAGGAGGCGGAGGCGGAGGAGGAGGGGGAGGAGGTGGAGGAGTCGAGGAGGAGGAGGAGGAGGAGGAGTGAGGAGGAGAGGAGGAGTAGAGGCGGAGGAGGAGGAGGAGGAGGAGGAGGAGGAGGAGGAGGAGGAGGAGGAGGAGGCGGAGGAGGAGGAGGAGGAGGAGAGGAGGGGGAGGAGGAGGAGAGGGGAGGGGAAGGAGGAGGAGGAGGAGGAGGAGGAGGAGGAGGAGGAGGAGGAGGAGGAGGAGGAGGAGGAGGGGAGGAGGAGGAGGAGGAGAGGAGCGGAGGATTAGACGAAGGAGGGAGTAAAGGAGGAGAAGTAGAGGAGGAGGAGGAGTAGAGGAGCGAGGGAGGAGGAGGAGGAGGAGGAGGAGGAGGAGGAGAGGAAGAGGAGGATGGAGAGGAGGAGGAGGAGGAGAGGAGCGGAGGAGGGGAGGCGGAGGAGGAGGAGGAGGAGGAGGAGGAGGAGGAGGAGGAGGAGGAGGAGGAGGAGGAGGAGGAGGAGGAGGAGAGGGAGGACGAGGAGCGAGGAGGAGGCGGAGGAGGAGGAGGAGGAGGAGGAGGAGGAGGAGGGAGGAGGAGAGGCGGAAGAGGAGGAGGAGGAGGAGGAGGAGGAGGAGGAGGAGGAGGCGGAGGAGGAGGAGGAGGAGGAGATGTGGAGGCGGAAGAGGACGGAGGAGGAAGGAGGGCGAGGGAGTAGAGATGAGGAGAGTAGAGGGCGGAGGAGGAGGGAGGAGGAGGAGAGGAGGAGGGGAGGAGGAGGGAGGAGGAGGAGATGAGGAGAGAGGAGTAGAGGCGGAGGAGGAAGGAGGAGGAGGAGGAGGAGAGCGAGGGAGAGGAGGAGGAGGAGGCGGAGGAGGAGGAGGCGGAGGAGGAGGAGGAGGAGGAGGAGGAGGAGGAGGGAGAGGAGGAGGAGGAGGAGGAGGAGGAGGAAGGAGGAGGAGGAGGAGGAGGAGAGGAGGCGGCGGCGGAACTCCATACGAGTCCAAAGTCAGTTCGGACTACGGAGTGCGGTGGGGTGACCCCCTCATTACTGTAAGCTCGGCACCACACGACACGTGGGACACGAACGGCATAGCCCGAGCATCGGGCGTAGCCCGTGTGCGGCCATTTCCGACAGGTGCACGTGGGATCCACCAGCAAGCAGCAACGACGCGGGAGACCAAGGGCGAGCAGGCGCAATACCAGGCCGAGGGAAACGAAGGCGCCCCCCTAGGCGTCCGCGCGCGGACGACCAGGAGGGGGCGTTTCACACAACCCCCAGCCAGGGACGGCCCCCGAGGGGGGGAGGAGAGGCCCGCGGCCCAGAAGGAGCGGGCGGGGCGAGAGGAGGGGGAAGGGACGAGACGACCGCAGGAGGGATCCACGCGTTTACACCAAACTAAGAGGAGCAGCAACTTCCTTGAAACTGGGACGAGGTCGCACTAAAAATCATGCGGTGGCCAGCCATTCAGTGGTCAGCAAATGCCAACAACAAATCTCCGACCTTTCACTTCCACGGGCAGACATAAAACGCACTGTGCAACCTCTGCAGCGGCACAAGATCCACGAGCGCAAAACTACAGGCACGCAGAAGAGACGCTCACACTGCTGGCCTCAATCATGTCACTCACGCACCTGCAATTCACTCCATTTCCATTGGGTACTCTGGAGACTCCCCAACCCAGTACTACGCCGACATTGCCTCGATGATCTCCTGACCCTCCACCTCCAGATGACCAGCAGGGCGAGGGCCCGACCACGCCACCTTCTTTTCCGCCGCTTCCACAACACACAATAGAACACGCTCCAGTTTCTCATCTTTCATCGCGATCATGAGCCTCTTCTTCTTGCTGTCGAACATCTTCTCCGTCCGAAAGAGACCGACGACATGCTGAGCCTCCCGACTGCCAGGCTTGTACTTATTGAGGTAGTCCGTCAGCACCTCTTTGATCTCTGGGGCCGCAGTGTCCGCCATCGCAATGCACGCTGCCGTCAGGTTGAACGTGTCGGGCGGTCCCAGACCATGCGCACGAGGGAGGTGCTCCTCATTGTGCGCTTTCTGCATCGCCTGCCACAAAGCTCCTTCCGCACTGATCTCACACTGCGATGTGCACGCCGCCTCCCGAAGACGAAGCTTTTGATGTGCAATCACCCCCAGGCGCAGAGAGAGGTTAATATTCGTCTTGTCCTCCGTGTTCTCGGCCTTTGCATACTTAACTGCCCGCCCTTGCGGTGCTGCCGACGCATCTCCAGGGCCGCGCGATGCGAACTGATCCGCCCACGTGCCGCCAGAACACTTCGAGAAGAAAAAACAGCTTCGATACGCCTCGTCACCTCTGGGCCACGATAGCGACAACCCCCGCATGTTAGTGCACCTAATTATCACGCATCGCCGTCTACCCAGGAACGTGACTGACCAGATGGGTCCTGGCCGACACGTACGAGGCAAACTCCATATCACAGAATTCACACCTATAGGGGGGGTCCACCGTATGACTATGAATGGCAACCGATCCCGTGGATTTCGGACACACACCTCTAGCGATACTAACTGCTAGACGTTCTGAAGCATACCTCCGAGTGGTATAAAAAATAACACATTTCATGCATTTGTTGGACACCGTCGAGATCTTGGCGAGAGTCTTTTTTTGTTTCCATGGCCGTCCGCTTTTGAGTTGGCCTGATGTAGCAGGAGCTGCCTGCGAGAGTTAAATCCCATTCCACAGCCCTCAATATCGCACGCGCATGGGGCGGGGGCAGGAACCTCTGGAACAAACTCAAGACCAAGGGGCGGTAAAACCTGCGCCTCATCTCCTCCCACCTGTCCCCCTCCAATCTCCCCGTCCACCTCGTTCGCTTCCACCCCCTCCGTGTAGATCTCCTCGAACGTCCTCGGCCCTCCCTCAGCCCTCTTGACCTGCGACACCTTCACACCTAGGAACTCCTCCCTGATCTCTGAAATGTAACAAAGCTCCACTGGCCTTCGGAGTAGTGCTGGTCGCACTTCGGGCATTCCCAGGTCCGCGATACACACAGAAACATCCAATTGAAACTGGCTCCACCATTGGTGTACGCACTAGTACCTGGCGCAGCGCACGCATTCCCATGCACGTCGCATAGGTTGAGCTGGTCCCAGACAGCATACCCAAACATTTCTGCCAAGACTAGCAAGTGCTTCTCAGGCGATCGTACGAGCTCTTGCCACCAGCGAATCCTCCAAGCTCTCAAGGTGCAATAAGGTGCCCTTAACTTCATCTGCTTCCTTATCTCCGTGTTGGGTAAAGCTCGATATCTTTTTGGGCATTCACTGGTGGCAGCAATCTTCAAA